GTTCATTCTTCTTTCACTAACACACGCGGCAGACTGCAGCAGCTGCAGAACATCTCACAGAGCTGCGCTGGATGCAGTCATGAGCTGGGACACGGTTTGTGACCAATGACCGATCGGGGGTGCCAGCCTCCTCCCGGCACGCGATGCACTGGCCGCCGCGCAGTCGATGTCGGGGCACCGCCGGCATTCGCCGACAGGGTTCCATCCGATTCGGTGTATTGGTGGCAGCCCGAACAGTGACCCACGCGAAGCTGGCGGACGTCGATGGCCGATGAGCGATGCCCTTCCGCGACCGGCGGTGGCAGTCGGTCCCACATCAAGAACAGATACCAGTCATGCGGTCAGTCGGCGACGGCGCTGTCGCGAGCCGATCTGATGGTCGCGCGGTGGGCGTCGCCGACGTCCACCGGGACCGTCGACTGGGGGAGCGCGGCCGCCTCTTGGCCGCCGCCTCTGGTCGGCGAGCTCGTTGCGCTGTGGGACGGCATCCACTGCAAGTCGTTCACTGTGAAGCGGTCGTTTGACCGGACCTGGCAGGCGGGGAAAGGGGGCCTCAGATGAAGTAAAACCATCCCTCAGGCCAGCTTGAACTGGCTCTCCACCTCACCATGTTAGATAAGCGGACACCCTCGTGATCATCGCAGCGATGATTGCCAATTGGTGTGTCATTATGGGAGAGGATGCCAGCCTCCTTTGCAAGATAGTCTGCCTTTAATATAGTGCAGCCCGACCCATTGCCTGTGGCGCAGACTGGGCTTGATAATGCAGTGCAGGACACACCAAACGTAAGCGGCCATCTGTACCCCCTGTGCAGTAGGGCTGACTCAAGAGCCCAGAGTTGCCCTCCCCCCACCATTCTGTGCACGTGATAACTGGATGGGACATGCCATGGTCAGCATCTGTTCAAAAGCTGCCCTAAGCATGTAAAGCTCCACTGGCATGCTCAAGCATGGTCACAGTCAGTTCTCACTTCTCAGTTGAACCTCCAATGGAAACCTATCACAAAGTAGAGATCAGGGCGCCTCTCACACTGCAGCACACTCAACGACTGAGGCACCATCTCATTCTCATCACTTGCAGGTGGTTCTTGCCAGGAGCAATGCCAGCCACGCACATCAGGTGATAACAGCAGTGTACAACTGCAATCTACAAGCATCCATGTTCTTTCTGGTTTTCTCCTGTTGAGATCCACTGCCATGCATGAACTTGATGGGCTTTTGTTGAGCTCCTCCCATGTGCAGACAGGTTTCTGCTGAAACAAAGCAAAGCAAATGTGATTAATAATGGCCCTGTTTCACCATCCAGACACTGTGTGCACTGGTAGCTACGGCATACCATAGCATCACTCAAATGACGTTGCATGTGATCTCTTAGTTTATGATCAATCGCGTTTGGAACAGAGTGAGAGGTTCTGAAAAACCGTACCAAGAACAGAGGTTTGAGTTCAAATACTGCTAGCATGCTGCTGGTGCTGGTACCGCAGCGTGCTAGCGTTCTGGGATGCTGTCATAGCTTAGCGTCACAGTGAAGTTTGTTGACACTGCCATGGAAACCCAATGCTCTGACACACGCAGCGCACTGCAGTGCTGAGCACTGCAGTGCGTGCTCTGCCGTGAAACACCACCCATGAACGTTGGTTGCATGACCAGGATGGAGCAGTGTGGCAGACAGTGATTTTAATTTTAATTGCACTTCCTAGAGATTAAAATGTTGTTGGTGAAATTGCTATTCATTATTCCTATAACCATTGTCTAAATTTCACATTTCAAGACAGCATCAGCATTGACATGTTATATAAAATAAGGTTTAGACTTCAGGTGGTCCCGGGTTCAGCTTAAGTAAAACAAGGGCAAAAAATTGTCAAAAAAATATTTAAAAAAAATACCTGCCTTCATCAACACCTCATCTAATCTAACCTCATCCTCATCTAACAAGGCCCTAAAAGCAAAAACCGTTTGAATAACAATGTAATATTTTGCAACCGCTGCACCATTACTGTCACGTACGCTATCCCTAGATTGGTTGCTGGTAAGTAGTGGTTGTCGTCATCAACTCGTCATGCAGCAGCTGATTGGGATGGGCGGGGCCTATTTTTATCCAGGCGATAGAGAGAGCCACGCGGCCCGGGTGCGTACCCGAACCGCCCGCGGCGGAACCTCCAGTCAGCTGATCCGGAGCCCGAGCCCGCCGCGCCGCCGCCGGGTCGCTGACCCGCCGCGTCCAGGCGGTAGCCTCTGCCCGGACCGCCAGAAGCGAACGGGAAGAATGATCCCCGCCCGCGGAACCTTCCAGAGCCACTGACCTGCCGGTTGTGTCGCGCTCCGGCGATGGACACGGCTCGCTGCAGATTTTCCAGCGCCCCCGGCGTGAAAGCTGCCGGGTTCTGCTGCAGCGTCTGGAACAGCCTGGTCGTCCCGTCATCAAACTGGTTCGCCACCAGCAGGTTGGTATACTCTTCTTGCAGGTACCGGAGTTGTGCGATAGCTATAGTCGATAGTTCAGAGAGGACGGGCTCTCTGCTTGTACACTGAGAGAGCAGTTTCAATACGGTCTCCTGATACCGCGCACACTTCCGAATGACCTGGAACTTCGGCCAGTCAGCCTTGCTGACGCCTGCTCTTGAATCACCGACCACCAAGTCCGGTGGAAGTCTGACCTTTGCCAGACTTTCGCGAATGCTCTTAAAGTCTGTCTGCAGATCACTGCTCGCGCCCACTTCAGACTCACCGAACGGCTGCGGCTGAGTGTCTGCGCATTCTTGAGTGTCGACCAGCCGACGACCGGCGGTGTCGGTCTTCAAATGCTCACTGATTGCAGCCACTGAGCTTTCCAACTTGTCAAACCTCTCAAGAAGGTTGTTGAACCGTTCCTCCATGAGGAAACAAGCCGCCTCGAAATACCGGCGGCTCGCGCAACACGGAGCGTCGCGGCTCGTGCGGAGCACCAACGCAGACTGACCCCGCCCGCGACCTCGGTCACGGGCCGGGGTCAGCCCCTGGCGGCGAATGTCGTAACTACGGCGAGCTGAGATGGTCAAAGCTTAGTTAACTAAGGCACTGGCAAGATCAGCCCCACATTTAAACATCGTACGTCGGGCGATAAAAGTATTTGATTTTATGCATAGATCTCTGCAATCTGCATTATGCATGGATGTTAAGTGCCTGCTTATTGTGCACGTTGATCGTTGTTCGTTTTCTTGGCCGAGTCTACTAAAGTTCCATCGATTATCCACTAAATCTGCCCCCTCCCCACATTCCAAACTCGTCCCGAGACAGCAGCTCCCGCGGGCCGATCTGAGACGCCGGTGTGAGTTCCACACACGCCGTCAATGACCGTGTAACGACTAACGATCCTGTTCGGTGCAGCGGCCGAAGAGCTATGGTCCGCGGTCCAAGGCCGCCCTCACCGCAGCCCTGGGAGCGGCCGGCGGTCATTGGAGATTGGTCATACAGTGTGTGCGTGTGGTGTTACAAGTCCATAGCCAGGGGGACCGTCATCAGCCCTGAGGTGCTACTACCTCTCCCACGGTCCGACCCGTCCCAACAGCTGGATGAGCTGACAATGGGGCCGTCAGACAATCGAAAAGGTCACCTGACACGATCGAAGTAATTGGTTTTGTTGTAAAAACAACAATATTTCGAAAGAGTTTTAGGTTTCCTGCAATGGTGCGGTGCCACACGCCCTCAGCGTTAGTTGGCCAATTCATATGATATAATCATCCATCGTAAACTCGCTGAGTTGAGCTGACCATGGCTATACGAGCTCGTATGTTAATGTGCTTAGAATCTGCTAAGCTGTGGCCAGCAATGAAACGGTTTACGTTACCAATTTTGCAAGACAGCAGCAATAAACGTTTCGGTTCCGCTTTCCAAGCACAACCTGCCGCAGTTTCCACATACATCACCCGTTGTAATCGAACAGTACTACGCAACATGACCACTGCACTGGCCAGTGGTCGCGGTCAGTGCAACTGGGCAGAAATCCCGCCGGTACTCGCCGCGCCGCGCCACAGAGCGAAGATCGCGGCGCGCGCACCGGATGTGCGCTGATGGGTGCGGCGGAAGTGGCGCGGTGCGGTGACCTGCGGCCGTACGCGGTGATGGCACACGCGACCATTACTCGACAGGGGCGTGTCAATGCGCCGGTGATGGTCCTACACAGGGGGTGGCCTGTCGGTGGCAGAAAACAATGGCTATTATTCGTCAGAGAGTGGTTGATGAGTTCACAGAGGAAGACCTGCCCAATGCCAAAAGAGAAGTGACCTGCTGGACCTATGCATGTGCATCAGCGGGCTTACGGATCGCAGAAATTGGAACGATGTCGTGATGACTGTTGAGGTGACGATGATTCCGTCATCCTGAACTGAATGGCCGGCTCTTCCCGTGACTCCCATACTTTTTAGCTAGCCTTTTGTCAAATGTGGCCTTCAGAGTTCAGAATGGCCGTGATCTCACCGATGACGTGCCCGACCCTCAGAGAGATCGTCTGCCCATGGGATTATCAACACGAGCCTCCTATTTGACGAGAACGAGTTCATATCCCCACCAAGTACGGGCGAGAGCCGAACAAGAGAAACGTTCTCATGGCCAAGCCGATAACTCGACCAGGTTCATTGTGCTCAAGTAGACCACGCCAGCCATTTTCCACTTTAGGCTCTATTGTGGGAGCATTAAAAACCACTTACCTATAGCCTCCACGGAGGTTTCTCGAGCGACCCAAGAGTAACCCGGAACTAGTCGATGGGCCACTTCAGTGGCAAGTGACGGGGACCATAATTCACAGTTCACGGCTCGCCTCTATAGCGAATCAATTCCTTTCAATGTCTCGCTATCTCGTTAAAAAATCACATTTTCGTCACGTAATTATCTTATCTACGATAATCGCATTTCTCGAAAACGTTTCCTCACTTCGGCGGTGCAGCCCTCTATTACAGCAACCATTTCACCTCAGTGTCGGCATTTAGCTGTCTGCAATGCTCACCGTACGTCTGTCTGTTTCAGGTGCTGGTACTGTTGGTGCTGCTCGCCGCAGCCCGCTCCCAGCCGCTCTCCCTGCTGGACTGCCTGGTGCGCCGTCCTCTGGAGGATGTCGAGGGCAACGGACTCTCCACGGACACCCTGCGGCTACGGCAGCTGAGCGCCCCGCAGACCTGCGTGCCGCTCCTCTGTTCGGACGACATCCTCACCGTCCACGAGTCTGGCGGCGTCACATACGCCTCCGTCAGCGTCAACGATCGCACGCCCGAGGGCTCCCAGTGTCTGAAGGACGTGGTGGCCTCCCGCGATGCCTACCGCAAGTCCAACTTCCCCGTGACGTTCTACGCGGCTGGCGACCTGCATCTCGTGTTCTATGACTCATCCTGCTCGGCAACGCGGCTGGCCAAGCAGCGACTCCTACTGCTCTCGGCTCTGAAGGGCGACTCCATCCAGCCTCTGGAGGCGTTCATCCTGTGCGACGCCGATCTTCAGGTCACCAGACCAGCCATGCACGTGCAGCCGCACAGCCGCTCGAGCGCCCCCGGCCCGGCCGTCACACACCTGACCATGTACTCGGGCCCTCAGGCGAGGTCCGCATCCAGCGGCTTCGTGCCGCAGTACGCCCGCTTGCGATTGGCGCGAGACTTGGTGGTGTCCGTGCTGAGCTCCTGCGTCGGTGACCCGACCAAGATGGAGCTCATCAACCGTCTTGGTGCCACCTGGCTGGGAGAGATGGACTCCTGCATGCGACTCATCTGTCATAGCAACATGGAGGAGCTGGCGCTGGGCTACTACAACTATCTCCTCTACGACAACGATAAGATGGAGGGCGAGGAGTGCTTCAAGGCGCTGCAGACCAACGACATCGGCAGCGTAGTGAACACGCCGCTCACCCAGGTGCGCGTGGTTAGCGCCGAGGGAGACACGTGCACCGGTACCAAGATCATGGTGCTCAACCCGACGTACTCAGGCACCTCCAAGAAGCTGCAGCGCTTCCTCTACTACCAGGCCTACAAGATCCACTCGTTCGACTGTCCAGAGCTGGCCGAGACCTGTCTGCAGCAGAAGCTGTCGCAGCTCGGCCCTGCCACAGAGGCTGTGGATCTCCCCACCAAGTCCGAGTTCTCCTACCAGTGTGCGAACCTGCTGTGCGACTCGCGCGTCAGCCTGACGCCCTCCGGCGTCAAGAAGAACGCCTATAAGGTCAGCGTCGAAACGGAGAAGATGAAGCCACTCAACAACGTCTGCGTCAAGTCGCTGAACCGCGAGAAAGCAGCGCGCAACGCCGATGGCGTGACGAGCACACCTGTTCAGGCTCTCGGAATCTCATTGGAGTTCACGATGTTGTAAGTGATCTGATGCTGGGTTCTTCATTATCGATGGCCTGTGGGGTGGCCCGCCAAAGACATTGCCGCCGTGAAGAGGCAAGTGGAACGTTGTCCGAGTGTGTTTGTTGTGAGTGCGATTTGTACCACTGATGAGTTGTGTGCGTTATTGTACATAGACGAAGAATTTGTGTTCGTGTTGAATATGAGACACAAGTTCCATGTAACAGTAAACATATGCTGCAAAACGAGGATGAAAGAGCCCCTTGGGGGGGGGGGCTATATATCTCACGTGTGGTATCGGTATTGGGCGTTCAAATTACATACGTAGCGATTCTGTCGATATTTCGCGGAGCTATGGAGTGCTTCCAACCTGCTCGCACCGAAAACGATTATCATTGTCATTGTTCGGCGGAAGTGACCGTGCTGAATACACATGAGTACGACGGCCGTGATTTCATCGAGCGTTTGACTATCGTGAGTCGCAACCTTGTGATGGATGACGACATAGGAGACAAAATTGAATTTGGGATTAGTAACTGCCCCCTGGGCCCGATTTCACCAAGTGAATATATTCTTGGTGTACTTTGGAAAAGTACACCCGCAAAGTACGACGATAATACTATTCTGTTTCACCACAGGAATATATTCACTACGCCCGCTTTACGTACTTTGAGAGCCACCGGCACGCATGCATACATCTTGTCGGGGACATGCAGTCACTATATTTTTCCGCATTTAAAGTCGACGAGCTTAAATGCTTAGATATGCAATATTATGAAAAAAAATTCTAGCTACGCTAATAAGAATTAAATTTGCTGATCATACAAGAGGAAGTATACCTAAACAAATATTGCTAATAATGCTCTTGATTTTTGCTTGGAGCATGACATTCCAAAGCCAAAAAATGTAAACAATCGGCAGCAAGCCGCGCAGCACAGTTCAAGTTACTGGCGTGTGTGGGTTTTATTGGATTTTGAATTTATATTAATTTTTCTTCCAAGTTACTTCTCATTAAATATTGCTTTAATATTTGTTCACATCTTCTACGCAATTCTGGAGTGGTTCAGAGCAAATATAAATAAAGCCGAACAAGAAATGGCATTACCTGAGGCACCTATCTAACTACCGATCACTGTTGATAGCAAGGAGCACGGCAGACTAGCCGACAAGTTATCTGAAATATTAAAGGGACACTCCCACCTTAACATTAGTTTTGAGTTGAGATAGCCAAATTGGTGGCCATGGCCTGCAAATACCGGTTTGGGCACTCACAACATCGACAAATGCTTTAATTCGGAGATATGGAATTTCAAACTTGCAGTTTTCGGATTCTAAGGTGCTAGTGCATTGGTATGCCCCCTTAGAATTTGTGACGTCAGCGGAGATCTAACGATTTTTAAATCTTTTACTAAAACGTTTGGTAGCACGCGGTGGTATATGCTGCTTTGCGCGCAACAAATGCCGCACTTTCAAATAAAGTCGCTCGGAACAGCGGAGATCCCAAAAAGTAAACAAAAGTAAAAGTCTAATATCTTGAAAACCGGTGAATATTTTTCGATGAAATTTGGTAGATATTCGTTTTCGCTCTTTCTGAACCGAGCGACATCACTTTCGTGCTAATTCATTAACTTTTTTGAAGGTGGGAGGGTCCCTTTAATTGAATCAAGTTTTAAATAATCGAAGGGGCTACCGACGACTTCAAATATGTAGAATATTTCGGAATCATTCGGCAGACTGAACCTGAACGGAAGCGGGAAGCCGGTGATAAATTGAATCATTTGGCCACAACACAAGAGAAATATGGACATTGGACAGCATATGGGTACTGCAAAGAAATAGTAAAAGTGGGCGATGAAAACGAATGTAATGAAGCGTTGTGACTTGTGATGCAACATGCTGGGCATGTCAATCAAGGCGTTGCTGGCTGGACTGGACTTCAGTTCTTCCTCTCGCCCTCACCAGCTATTTACTTCCTCTTCGGTAAAACGCTGTATAAAGAGCACGGTGTAATAATCACGGTGAGAAAGATTTGAAACGCTTTTGGACTTTTGTGTTATCAAAATACATTGTGAACTGTCGTTCTTTTTTAAGTGGAAAACTCAATGTAATCGGGAATGCGAATGAAAAAAGGAATTCCCTGTTGTGTTTCTGCATGATGGGGTGATTTTAATCGCAGTGATCCCACGATGAGATATAAGCCTTATAAAAATAGCTGTTCTGGGGTTTAATTTCAATATGAGCCCTGACACATGATACCCTATATGTATATATCCAGCAAGAAATAACCATTATGACCTCTAAAACTTTTTGCGTAGCCAGTGGCATGTTTTTATCATACGTTGTATCGACGAAGTCAATAAATTTGTAACATTATCATGCAAAAAAATTGATATATGCCAAGCTGTTTATCAAAGTATGCCACAAAAAGTAGCATACTTTCAATGCCAGCAAACTCGGCAAACAGCTGTTGAAAAAGCAGATCGGCGTACCAGAGGTACCTCAAATGTAATAGTATGCCAAAAAACGACGGACTTATGCAGTCATACTTTGTCTTGGTCTTGAATAAGTATCCCATTACGAAGTTTGGTGAAACTGAATATGTCCTAATATGCCAAAAGTGAATATGTATACGCCGCCGTAATGGAATATATTCACTTGGTGAAATCGGGCCCTGCTCGGGAATGGCACTAGGCCGACCGAGCAAAAAAAAAAGAGATTCTGCTCTGAAAAATGCCTTTTAACTTTTTGGTAACGTCCTAAACACTAAACAGCGTGGTTCCCGCCATCCTAGATTCCTTGTTAACTGCAGCTCAATCCACAACTTCAGACCTCTACACACAGCCAGGAAATTATATTATATATAAACGGCAGAAATTCCAGCAAACGTTTAGTGTGTCCAGTGCTCACATAGCCGGATGCGCCCCACCCCGTTTACCGACTTCACCTGGCCTTCAAAGCAACTTCTGCGACTGACCACAAACAATTACCGTAAAGAGTGAAAACTGAGCGCAGGAGATCCAAGATCCGGGCTCTGAATGCCATTTAGCTCTGCATAGTGGGATGTTGTTCCCACTAGTTACTCACTGTCGTCTGACTGGGGGTAAACTGTCTATGCCGGACGGTCCAGCCGACACGTTTCCCAGGATGTCACTGCATCCAAGCATTACCTATCTCATGTACCTACCTATTGCTTCAAGGTTGTGATATTAATACATATAAGAATCGGGAAATATATACCAGGTATAGGCTATGAATTTTTCCTTCTGTTGCCGTACCCTTTCCTGTTTCTCGTTGTTTGTAACTCTTGCTGAACGATGCATCATTGACAGCCTGCTTTCCCGTAGGTACTTATCTTCCACGCTTCAGGCATTGACTGCCAGTGACGACACGAGCGAAGCACCTTGGACGTTTGGGGAGCCCAGACCTCAAAATGCCCCTCCTGAGACTTGCGGTCTGCCAGCGTGTTCAGGGCTGGACCATAAGAGATTGCGTAGAACATGGGTGGGACCCGGACCAGCGTATGGCGTCATGTTATTTGGACGAAGGCCGGAGACATCAGGCGGTGTAATGACCATCGAGTCATAATTGGGGGGGGGGGGGGGTCCGAGGTCGCCTGAAGCGTGGTCACTGGGCCGAGCCCGGCGGTCGGGGCGCACATCGACCACTGACTGGCCACGCACAGTTAGTCGCTGATGGACTCCCGCCGAGTCATGATGCGTCTACTTTAAGGTTTCTGACATTAAAAAGTTTTTTTCTTTACTAGGATTTCATTTTAATTATAGGTCCGTTATTGTTGCTTGTTTCGCTCATTCAAAGTTCAGTTCGCTATTCTAAGTTTCATTCTATTTTAGATCGTTGTCAGTATCATCATTAAATTATGAGCTCGTGAGAAGGCACGCTTCTTCTGATCATACCAACACGATCCTCACACCCGGTAATAAAAACCAGCGTTCCCAGCGGGTTTTTCGCCGACTCGGTCGCGCCACTGAAGTCGGTCACGACAGCACCCGTCTCCACGGTGTCAGTGATCGGCGTCACGCCGGTGAACCCCAAACGAACCCACCTCGAACTGCACTCTGGCCGGTCACGGTGGTCGCCCACAGTCTTCGGAGAGCGACAACAGCAAACGGACAGAGAAGACTGAGGGTTGTGGGCGGCAGTAATGGACTCCGTGCTGCTGGTCATGTCACGGACCCGTGCCCCGCGCTGCGGGTCAGGTCACGGAACCGTGCAGAACCGGACCGCCCCGCTAACGCGTGAGACCACCGGACAGCAAACGGCTTTCCGGTTTGGTGGTAAGAAACTATCGGATAGTGACGTGCGATTGCATTGTGATCTGTCCCAAAAGCTGTTTTGTTGTATGGATGATCACTTTTTTGGTTGTGCATATTGCAGTAACATTTAAGCCTAAGGGGGGATAAATGTTCACTATTTTGTCATAAATATTAGTTTTATACTGCAGCTATATCATTGAAATGAGCCGTAGAATGCTCGGCGATTAAAAACTTCGAGAAGTAAGTACTCATTTGTGTTTATTTTTCGAACACAGTAACGCGTAGCAAATCCATTTCGAGATTGTTATGAATTACAATTATCAATGTTCTGCGACACTACACGCCCTCATTAAAACAAACTTAACCCTCAAGACTCAACGCATTCGCAAATGTGTCACATGGGCTCCAGTAAGGACCGTCGACAGCAGGAGCACACGATAAGCGTTACCACTCATTTGTATACCAGCTGAGTATCAACGGTTCCACGCTCGCCACATGAGGCGACCTTACAGAGCATAGACGCGAATGTAATCCACCTGCATGGCGGTGTCGTCGCCGGTCCAGGTGGGCAGCCACTGGTCGCGACCCTCCCAGAAGTCGCGGTACGCCGTCGGCGAGGTGTTGTTCCACGGCTTGGCGCCGTTGCCGTTGATGTAGGAGTCCTCGAAGAAGGTGCCGGAGCCGGCCACGCCCGTGCCGCCGACGGCCACGTTCAGTTTCAGGTAGAACTCCTGGTCGAAGGGCGCCATCTTGGAGCGTCCCTGCCACGGGTTGTCCCTCCAGGTGTCCTGATCGAACTCGCCCAGCTCCCAGAAGCCGCCCTCCGGCGGAGTGACGTTGCCGATGTCGGCGCCGTCGACGCTGAAGGTGATGCCCTCGGGCGTCCACTCCACGCCGTACACGTGGAAGTCGGCGTCGAAGCCGGCCTCGTCGTTGAGCTCGTAGTGGGTGCGCGGCCACTGGTTGGACGGGAAGTCGGCGCCCCAGTGCATGGTGGAAGCGACCTGCTTCACGCCTGGAACGAAAACATAGATCGCTGAAAATCCGTGTAATATTTCACAATGAAAACGCACGATTTATGCTCTAAATGTTCTCAAATGCTTAAATGCATAATTCATGCTTACAATTATGGCAGAACTATATATGTTGGTTTGGGGACTTTTGTGAGTTTTAACGGAGAAAGTCGACGGACTGACGTGCTTTGACGCCCTAACTCACGGGCCCGGGGCTATAAATAAAACGGACTTCTTTCGAGGGCGGCACAAATGCTACAAATCATGAACCCACGGGCTCGCACCCCAGCTCAAGTTTCCCCTCTCCTGAAGGCTGACATTTGACATTGGATCCAAGTGTGTCGTCTTTCCTCCCCGCCCCGCCCCTCCCCTCCCTGAGGCGTGATGCGCCGCCGCGCCGGCTGGGGGGAGGGGTGGGGAGGGTAGTGCGCCGGAGACTCACATCTCCACCAATCAGCGTTCGGCGGTACTCGAGACAGCTGACTACCGCGTCGCAGCAGAAGTTTGAGCGCGGTGAGCGGGGCGAGTGATGTGGTTGTGCGTGGGAGTTCGTTGTGAGCTGTTTTGGTGAAGAGTTGGTGATAATTGTGACCTTTAGATGGGTGAGCAGTGAGCTGTTGGTGTCAGGGTGGACATCGGGCAGTGGTGGCTAGTGATTGATCATATACGGTGGCTGTGCCGGTGGTTGTTTTTGCGAGTTATCTGACTGCTATGCCATGATGGACCACGGCCGACTGCCGAGCTCGGCGATCTAGCAAGGACTCAGCAAGCTTCAACTGCGTACTCCTGCCTCCTGCATGGTGATGTACCGATATTTTTGACTCAGGGTATATTGAGTGACGGGTAGGACGAACTTTGGTAGGAATTTCTAGTATAACTACTAGAAAACCTACTATATGTGGTCGGGACTAGCAAAAAGTTAGTTCAAACTAGAATATGGTAGCGCTTATGGTTGGCAGTCATGACGCGCACGTGACATTCATTTCTTAAATTTCTTAAATAACAGGTTTTAGGGGCCGATTAGTGGGCAGATTCATTCTATTAGCTATTAATAATTGATTATGCAAACATTTAAGAATCTACATCATTCAATTCTAGCCAAAATCATGCGGCGCTCCCAGGATTCGAACTCACGACCCTCGGATCCGTAGTCCGGTACGCTACCGACTGCGCTACCGAGGACCGCGCTCCGACGATCGGAGAGGCGGATCGTGGGTGCTGGCGTGCAGAGAAATCTTTACCCTGTACGCCGTAGAAGATCGGCTGGGTTTCGTAAAAAATGGTAGAGGAATTGTCGAAAGAAAATTCATCGATCTATCATTTGAGACTAAGAACCATTGATTCCTTCAAAGGTTGACCGAGATATTGCTCGCCGAAAACAGGCCATTTAACATGTAAACCCTATGGGCTGGTAGGAAATGTACGCCGTGGAGCAGCAGTGCTACCAACTAACTTCGGCGGGGGCCGTTTTTGACTAACCACTTGCATGCCTTACTCATACTCGCACATCGTAACTTCTTGGCTATCTCAATGATTGTGTTTCATTACATATGTCTTTATGCTGACGGGACCCCCCCCAAACCTCCCCGCTCCGTACCGATCTGGAGGTTGTCGGAGGGGCGCAGCAGGTCGCGGTTGCCGCGGCTCTCGACGATGTCGATCTCTCCGGAGGTGGGCCAGTTGCCGTAGACCTCGCGCACGGGCATCATCCAGATGGCGGGCCAGATCCAGTCGCCGGCCGGCATCTTGGCGCGCGCCTCCACGCGGCCGTACTTGAAGCTGAACGAGAGCGGCGTGCGCATAGCCGCCGACATGATGGGGTTCAGGATGTGCTCGTAGCTGCCCTGACGCTCGCAACCGTAGTTGAGCGGGTTGGTGCACCTGAGGGAAAAAGAGAAGGGTTACCTATGACTTACGAGAGAATCATGCGAAGTGTGAAGTATACTTTCAATTTTCAGCGTGTAAGAAATTACAATTTCGTATAAATTTTTTTCCCAAGTTACCGGAACTGAATGAGACGATTTGTTTATCATATCGGTCTGACCCGACAAATGGTCTTTGAAGTGGACCCGGCATAATGCCTCTCTATATTGGGATCCAATGTCACAAAAGCCTTTTGTAACAATACCACATGCCCCATTAAATTCTAAACTGGTGCTGATTGCTGAGCATGTTATGTAAGGCCCGTTACAGATGTCAAGTTACGTTATTCAAACACGCTGATATAAGTACCACGGAATTTTACCACGCGAACAGATGCACAGCTTCTCACGGTGTATTGGTGGTAGTGTGCGTTGAGATTGACAGTCTGAAGTGATATATATATATAGATTTGGGGATACCTACTACATACTTGTCGAACGGAGACGTTTTTAAGGCAGTTATGCAATTCTTTTTTGCATTTCTTTCGCTTTCGTCGACTGGGAAAGAAGATGGCAATGAAAGTATCGTGTTTTTTTTCGATTTGACATTGGACAGAAATCCTGTTTTTATATGGTCTGGCGACTAGCAACACAGAGTGATGAATTGTTGCTGACTGTTGGGCGGTGCACATTCAGCATTTTCCGTGAATTTACTTATTGTGAGGAATGTTATTTGCAGGTAAGCCAACTAAACGACTAAACTTCCGTCCCCCGATGCCACTCACTGGTCGAAGGGCGCGCCACCGTGCATGTTGAGGGTGCCCGAGTAGAGGTAGTCCTCGCCGTAGCGCTCGGCCGTCAGGGTGGGCCTCAGGTACAGGACGCCGTCGCGGATGTAGCTGTTGGTGCGGTTGTTGTTGTATCCCTCGAACTCGTTGTTCTGAGGACAAGGAGACATGTTTTAAGGACACTGCATAGCGCATAATTGCATAATGCTATGTGAAAGGGGTTTATACCGTAAACGTCAAAACGCTTTTAAAAGAATCATGGAGATGCATGATTTATAAATGTCTTCAGAACATCTGAATTATAGTTATTTCGTCATGAGGCCCGGCCCACCCACGCTCCAGCATCTCCCAGATGCCTTCCACTCCACCACCAAACCCCAACATCCTTCCGAGCTCGTGGCGACCCTGGAGGCCTATAGAGCTAAACAGACAGAAATTTGTTGGGAGTGGAGACCCCACATTCACCCAGTCCAGACTCCACAACGTCTCGCCCCCCGCCCTGTACTCACACCGCCGCCCCAGAGGGTCAGCTCATGCTGCCAGGTGGCCAGGTCCAGCTGGTCGAAGTTGTCCTCGAAGATGAGCTCTCCGGCCGTGGGCACCTTTCCCCCGTTGTAGGTGGTGACGCTCGGCTCAGCTGAGACTGCCAGGGCGAGCCCCGCACTCAGCAGCAGTGCGGCAAACATCTCGGAAGCTTGATGGGACACTTGTCCTCTGAAACGATGTGCGTGTTATTGGTCAACTCCGAGGGAAAAGTTGTACGATGTACACTTAAGCATAACTAATTACATAGCTGTTTTTCGGACCACTTGCTTAGAAACTGATGATCAAAATAGACATTTTAGAAGTAGCCATTCTTACTCCAAATAATTATCCAAAGTAAAGGGGCCAGAAAAAAGTCCACGACTTTTCGATTCATGCCGTTTTCAAATACCCCGAACTCGGTAAAAAGGCATACTCTGTCACGTGTAGCCGCCTGAACGTCACCTTTGTGGCATTTACCTATAATACGAATGGCCACAGTTGATTTGGTCTGAGCCTGATTTTGTCTACTAAAGCTCCTCGGTGCCTTACCTTGTAGCTTCTTCCGCACACAACTGCGGCTGCTGAATGAAGGAAGAACATTTTAGGACCATTTTATACGCGCGCACAGGTGCGATCGTACCACGCCGGGATGACCGTCCACGCGCTGGGAACGCACCGGCTGGTGCGCCGGTCACGTGAGGCCGGGTCGCATGTGTGCGCTATGACGGGAGCACCGCACAGTGGACAAAACCGGGGCACTGTATGGTCAAAATGATCGAAATGATTCTTATTTGCGTATTCCTATGATTTCATATGCTTTGTGCTAAAAAAGTTGTTTTTGCCGTTTCATTGCTACTGACTTGTTATGACTACTGCAATAACCCATTTTTTATATTCTTCTCCGCTAACACAAGGCTATAGCTGGTTCAATCATCCCAATATGAATACGTTTTAAAATCAATTTCTTTCAATCCAGGTGGAATTTTATATCGAGAGTAGGTATAAGAAATCACTAAGCACTTACTTAGCAGCGCTTGGGATGTGTGGATACAAACTAAACTAAACGAATCAAAGGATTTGTGAACACTAAATGCGTGGATCCTAAATTATTAACCCATTTCTGATCGAATGGTCTCATCCTAAAATCAATGTGACTATAAAGCCGCATTGAGCCGATTTTTTCTTTGCACAGTGCCCACCTTTTGCTAATAAATATTCATGGCTAAAATTCGTCATATGCATATTGCATAACAGCACGCACAAGAGCCCGTGCCGTCCCACTGTGCGCCGGCGAAAAAATAGCTGTCTCTGTGGGAATCATAGTGTGGTGGGATGACTGTACAAACTGAGCCCGTCGCCCATCAGGGCTTGTATAATAAACCGTGTCCGCATGACAATGCATTATTACAGACTTTGAAGAAGTCAATGCACTGTTCCTGTGAAGCCAAGACTGTTGCGCATGCTTTGCATGCCTTTATTTTGATGCCTTCCAACTTTCAAGTTCTATTTAGGTCTTTTATATGGGTTACTAGGTTGTAGGTGGGCGAACGGTGGAATTGGTGGATCGAGACGGTTATAGTGTTGAACGATAGAGAAATTATTCTCCATACATTTTGCTTGTTCGAAAAGGAAAGAAACATTTTTATGCTTCGCTTCTCCGACACAAGCTGGGGCAATCCTATTTAAGATGTTGTCTCGAGTTGTTTAGGATTTTGCACATTTCTGAGGAAATATCTGATAGTTCGGAACATTTTGCCGGCTCCCCCAAAAGTGAAAAATAGGCTGTTTCACAATTTACTGGCCAGTCCAGAATGCAATTCGAAATGCTTATACAATGTCAGTAATGTACCTAATTAAACGTGAATGCTGAAAATGTGCTGAATGTGAAAATGATGAAAAAATGAAACGTGAATGTGAAAATGATCATAAGATGTGATTCAGATCAGGTGATGTTGGATGACAGATATCACTTATGACGGTCATTCGGCGAGCTATATTTTCTGAGACCCATTTCCTCCCATGTATATTGCATGTTACACTTTAGAAATCGTCTAACTATCATCATCATCATCATCATCAATTGTATTACGTCTAGAGACAAGACAAGCATGGGCATAACAAACATACACAATGCACACAAGACATACGCCAGAAAACATATGCACAATCATACCTACACCAAACCATAGGCATACCAAAAACAACATAACACTATCATATGGGTGGCGCTAATATCATTTGTATTAGTGCCCATGCCTCCCCAGTGTTCTGAGCCAGGAGCCAACTGAGCGAGTCGGTGACTCCACAGGGGGGTCTTGGGGTGTACATAATCTCAGGTGGGATATGACCTCCAGCAACCTGTAGAAGCACACTCATATTGGCCCCACATACGATGAACATAAATCTAACGATAGGCGCGCAGTGTCCCGATGAGGCATCCCCAAGAACAAGAGTGGCCAGGCTGGCAACCAGAAGTTGGCGTAGGCGGTGATTTTCGCGGAACGCATCACGGAAGCACGCGATGATGGGGCGACGTAGAGTCTCCTGTACCTTCGGTATGTGCAGAGCAGCGAGCAAAGCTGTGTGGTGGGCTCTGGATGGCAAACGTAAGGCAGCTTTGACTGTTGCTGCTTGCCAGGACTCGAGACGAGAGATGTCGGCGGGTCCCAGAGGGCACAGAGCACAACCAAATAACAGGGTCGGGGATACTATGGCTCGCCAAAGGAAAGCTTTGTCAGGGCCAGGGAGCTGCGAGCTGAACAAACCCGCTCGGGAGAGACCGAAATAGGCGCCTCGTCCACGGGACACGCGTGCATCTACGTGCACTCGGCCCTGAAGATTCGGGTGCAGCTGAACACCAAGGTGCTCAGTGTATTCCTTACACGTGAGCAACTGGTTGCATAAGTGCCACTCAGGTCGCTGGGCTAAAAGACCAGCACCGAAAATGAAACAGTGACTTTTGGTTGCGCTCGGGACCGGGTTAACAAATTCGAGCCTCCAGCTAACTGAGAATTCTGAGACAGAATCCAATAGCTTTTGCAGGTCAAGTGCGTTCCCCGACATGACTAGGAGGTCATCAGCGTAAGCCACTACTGGGACATGCTTACCACAGACCATTGCACCAAGGCCGGTAGCGTCCAGTTGCTGTATCAGCGGCCTTAAGAAAATATTGGCCAAGCATGGTGACAGAAGCGCACCTTGCCTCACCCCTCGTCGTACGGAAAACGCATCCGATATAGAACCTCCGAACCGAACTCGTGCCGAGAGGTCGCTATACCAGAAGGCTAAAACCAGCCAGCTTCGGCGAGATAAGTAGTCTTTAGCCCGAAGTAGGATGCCAGCGTGCCATATTCGGTCAAAGCACTTACGAGCGTCGAGATTAGCGACAAACAGCGGGGATTCGTGCAACAAATAGTGGCCAGCCGCTTCCTGGACGAGTAGCGTTGCCTCTCTGGTGCCCCGGCGCTGAAGGAATCCAAACTGTAGGTCTGAAGGTCGGAAAGAAAGTTGGATTTCTCGAAGAAGCAGTAATTCGAGCAGCTTTGATACCGTGGACACCAAAGAAATTGGTCGGTAGCTATCCGGACAGTTTGGGTCCAAGCTGCTTTTTTTAATAAGTGGGACCACTGTGCTTCGCCGGAAGCTGTACGGTACTCGCATCTCGGCCAGGCTGGCAGATAAGAGGAGAGCGATTATGTCCAGAAGCGTTGGTGAAGAGCCATGGATAAGATGGTCGGCGGTGACACCGTCAGGGCCGGGAGCTGCATTCCTGTTTAGCTCCGTTATAAGGCCCGCTACTTCACGGGCACTTATGATCCTACTGGGACCCGGTGCTTCAAGCGCAGATGTCCTATATGCGTCTACTAACTTATGAATGGTCTCGTGCTCAGCTGCAAGCCCCTCAGAGTCACCGTCCCTGTGCGTGAGGCTGAAGTGGTCAGCAAGATCATCAGCCGAGAGTGTCGCACGAGGGGTAGCTGAGCCTCTCCGCGCTCTCTCAACCTGCCGCCAAACAGGGGCGGATCCAGAAAATCTCCAAGGGAGGGGCCATTAGAAACCAGGAGGCCCCCCCCATAATCCCACCTGTTGGAGGCCCCATCTTCCCACTTGTTGGCCCCCCCCCCAAAAAAAACTGCGTCTATTGAGCTTATCTAGCTGTTCAGGCAACATCTCAACATCTGTGCAGGCTTGGAGGCCCTCTGTGCAGGTTAGGAGGCCCTGTAAAAGTGGTCATCTCTGTGAGTATAAGAGACCTCCAAGTTATGAAAAGCTTTACCAATCTTCTAACAAAGAAGTCTTCTCAGCTAGTCTTCTAAGAAATAACTAAGTGGGTAGGTTAAAAAAAAACTCATCGGATTTCGGCCACTTTATTTTCAGGAGGCCCCCTTTTCAGCTTTTTAACTTTTTAACTTTTTATTTTATTTTTGAAAAAAATCGGCCAAGGGGGGGCCATGGCCCCCATGGCCCCCCCTTGTATCCGCGCCTGCCGCCAAAACTGTTTTACGTTACCGTCACGGCGAAACGCTGCCATCAGACGAGCGCTGTCGTCCACCTTGGCTCGTGCGGCTGCGACACGAGCTCGTCGATAATCTCGCCGTGCAGCACGAAAACAGCTGTGAAGCACCGTCAGCTGTGGGCGATCTGACTCTACCCACAATCGGTGCCAAAACCGAGCGCGATCACGGGCTGCAGAGACAGCCGGAGTCCACCAAGACTTTGGCGGTTTCCAGCGGCGAGAACAGCCGGACTCGGACGCAGCTCGATGAATAGATGCCGTCAGGTGGCTGTCCAGCTGCTCAACATCCAAGTCTTCCGGATTGCGCAAAACCAGAAGCTGGGCTAGACGTCTACGGTATTCATCGTTCCGAACATCACAGCTCCAGTTTAACACCGTGCGAGCCGGTGAAAATGCACTCCCCGCCGCCTTCTGGCACCGCCTTACTGTGAGGTATAGTGTGCAAATCAGAGGTAAATGTGGGCTCAAGTTATCGACACATGGCTGAATGATGTGGCAAGACTGCAACTGACTAAAAATGAAGTCATGTGGTACTAAGATGTGATCAATGTGTGTCGAATAGCCACCGCGCTCATACGTATAACTAGTCTAGTGACTGACTAAATCTGAACTCCGCCGTTACTAAGTCATGTGCGTCCAGAAGTCGCTGTAACTCGCGGCTAAATGCGTTAAAGCCATGGAGTCTTAACCATTGAGCTGGACGCTGAGCGAGTGGGAGTCGTGGGAGAGCACAGTTAAAATCTCCGAGTAGCATAATTGGCGCTGCAGGTCTGATTTCACACATCATGGAGTCCAAGCTCGCGCACGTATCTCTATACAGTTCTAACTGCTCAAAAGTGCCACTAAAGTACGGCATGTAGCAGCCTATAACATTGAGCACTGGCAGCCCACCGCTGCTTATTTGGAGCCCCAAAATACGAGACGACTCGCACTCAATCTGAGCAAACGTAAAAGAGTCATCACACCTGCATATCATGGCTGTCCCGCCGCGCCGGCGCCCTTCTCCAGCGCCTGGAGGTGTCTCCATCGCAAACGATTGAAATATTTGTACATTATCAACATCGTAGCAGTTAAGGGCATCCCCCAGGAGGTCTGCTTCGGCACAGGATACCCATGTC